TCTAATCTAATCTTGAACAGTGTTACATACATTTGAGTGATGGCACATAGTTCAGAGCTAGGGGGGCTTACTACAATGGCTTTACAACCTGAGCTAACTTCACAAATCACCTCAGAAATGCTTGGCAAGCCACAACACAGCACAGATCCCATTAACACCATGTTTTCTACAGCATGCTGTAGCTTCCATTGTGCTTTTATAGCATCATTTCACGCTGCCCTTTTAGTAAACATGGAAATGTCATTTGAGCTTTTGTGAGTGAAATGCACTTTCCTAGATTAACTTCTGTCAGGTTCACATAGATGAATTGGCTGTGTTTTCTAGGTTTCCAGGAGAAGCCTTTCAGTAAAAACCAAATGAAGGTCATGAAATACTCTAAAGCATCCAGAACAGCACCCGGGGGCCTCATCGTATTTCTGATTTTTTTTTAAAAAAAATCAAGATTTATTTTTAAGGTGATCAAATACCTTCTCCTGAGGGAAATAAGCTTTCCATTTTACAGTGATATGCTTTGTTAAGGCATCATCAGCCATAACTGGTTTAACAGAAATTAAGTTACTCCAGAGCTTTAATATTTTTGGCAAGGTTGCCAAACATTTTGCCATCAGTACTCTCCCTAAATCTCTCCCACTTATGCCACTGTAACAGGTACATAATGGAAACATTTAAAATAAAAGGTGATATAAAAAAGTTAATACTGTCTACCATTTCCTGTATTAGAAGAACAAGGAATCAAACACTTACAATAAAAGACAAAAAGCCAAAAGGAAATACTTTGATACACTAGGGTTAAATAGCCTATAGAATTCATTGCCACAAGAGATCAGTAAGGCCAAAGGTTCCTAGATGGATTAGTTATTTATATGGTCAATACAAATATCCAGAATCAGGCTGTACCCAAACCATGCCTATTTTGAGAGGTGGCAAATAGTTGAACCATACATTGGTCTTCAATTGAGACAGCTCTCTAAGTAGCATTTAAATCTAGCAGTGGGAGAAGATGTGGCAGAGACTTTTATTCTTCTCTGTAGAATAAGTAGTTCTTTTTAATGCATTTATTCAGTGCCCATATGCTATAATGATGTGTATATTTGAAATTCATATAATAATAACTGAATAATTCAAAATAGGAGATATCCACAGTTAAGCATGCTTAGAAAGCCCAGACAAGATTTAATCCTTCCGTTTCCGCAAAGTGAGTCAAGCTTCTCAGACTAGTAAATGTCTTTTTAGTTGTATTATTTTATTTCCAAGTTTATCAGAAATACAAAGACCCTCGGGCAAAGTAGCCTCCAGTAATGTAATGACTATAAAGCCCAGTTAGAGAGAAAATTACAGCTTTGATACAAAATTAACTAAGGACGTGTGCTTCACAAATTGTATTGACTTCAACAATTTTATCTGTAGGTGGTAGAAACAGACACATGGGAAATCGTAAAGATAAGATAAAAGGAATGTTTAAAGAAGACTAATGAATGGAAACTCTGGGGGATGTACTAAAGATTTGAGAGCCAGTGGGGTTTTCTGGTGGATTGTGGAGGTCTATAACCCATGGGGGCATGTTGCAGGCCATGCTCTGAAACAGCTTCTCCTACATATTTTAAAATGGTGTTCCAGTGCTGCAAACCCACTCTGGGGTGTGGAGAGCTTCTAGCTCCACTAGCCCCATATTGCTATTGCCTTGAGCTCAGAGAGCAGAAGTGCAAAGTCCACAAAGGGGCAGGAAAGGTTCCATGAATATTCATTCAAATGCAGTTGCAAGTTCAGCTGCAAGTAAAAGTAAAGAATTCAGCAATGGAGTTGTGTGCTCCGTAAAATAACTCCTATCCTGCAAACTGCGGCTGTCACTTACTTGATGGCACACATGCATACAAAGAGCATGTTATGCTTGTGCTCCAAACATTGGTCTACTTTCCTTTCCATTTCCAGGTGTAATTTAAGGTACTGGTTTTAACCTACCAGTCCTCTTATCACTTGTTTGTTGTGCATTTTATACACCTTCTCCTCCTAAAGTGAGGCCAGCTGGAACACTTGTGTAGATGGCTCATAGGTTTGTGTGTCTGAATGCTCTCAACTTTGGGAATGTTACAGAATCTTTCATGTCTATCTTTCTGGTTTGAATCAAACAAGAATCAGTAGTTGATTCAGACTCAGGTCAAATAGTTGCTAACTTGTGATGGTGGATGTCTGTCATAATCTGTGCAAAGCAGGGCAGTGGTACTCTAATGCCGGTTTGGTTCCTGCTGCCTACACTACAAACTTGAACCTCAGAATGAGCTTCGTTTGCAAAATGATTATCTAGTAGAAGAACCATAATTCTGTGATTGGGGCACTAAATTGAAACGCAGGAGAATTAGGCTCAATTTCTATTTCTGTAATGGACTTCCTATATGTGTCCAAGTAAGCCATTAATGGTATGTCTACACTTGCATCCTATTTCGGAATAGGGCTGCAAATGTAGGCATTCGGAATTACAAATCAAGCCCGGGATTTAAATATCCATCACTTGATTTGCATCTTCCCGGCTGGGTGCCATTTTTGAAATTTACAAGCCCGGAATAACTGCCCACATCTACACGTGGCAGTGAAACGGGCATTCAAAATAAAGCCCTATTTTGAACTACCTGTTATTCCTCCTGCAATGAGGTTGATTTGCAATTCTGAATGCCTACGTTTGCAGCCCTATTCTGAAATAGGCTGCAAGTGTAGACATACCCTATGTCTCTTTGTTGCTGATCCATATTGTAAAAATGTTACTACAACTAATCTATTATATATATGAGAGAGTTTCTGTCTGTCTGTCTGTGCATCCATCTGTCTATGAGTCTGTTTGTTCAAGAACTCCCCCTAAACGGTAAGAGCTAGGACCACAGAATTTGGTAGTCAGCTTCTTCTTATCATAATTTAAAGCAAGGTCAGGGTTTGGTTGTGCCAGGACAATGGGATGTGCATGAAATGCAATGGTTCCTCATCAAATAGAATGAGTGGGCTATGATAGCAGGGGCAGTTATACTCTAGAATAACCACAGGAGGCAGAAAGCATAGTGGACAGTTATATTCCATAATGACAATGGAGGGGGCAGCAAGCAAGTACATCCTTGCCACTCTGGCAGCCCAGAGTGCTGTGCAGCAGCCACTGGCCCAGCAGCATGGCGCCTGCCACCCTGGGCCAGCCCCAGGGAGCAACACTGCCATTGCACACTGCCCCGGGTCAGTCCCTGCGAGCAACGTCACTGGCAAGCTGGCCAGTGCAACCCCCGCCATCTCAAGCTAGTTCTGGGGAGCAACAATGTCCTGGGTCAGATAGTGTGGCTCCCACCTCCCCAGGTCATCCCTGGGGAGCAGTCAGCAGCCACCTACCCTGAGCCCCCTACATTCTGCCCTGACTCCTGCACCTCCACAACCTGCAGCCCCCTGCCCTGAAGGACCTGAACAACTCTGTGTATATCTTCTAGTAATAATATAATAAATAATACTTCCTTATCTCAGAAATATGTTGTGAGGATAAAGTCATATATATCTGTGAGGTGCTCAGATGGAGTCTCTACAGGTCCCTAAATAAACAGACATGTAGTAGTCTCAACCAAAAGACTGAAAGTTCACAGTATTTAAATCGTCCCCTGCCACTGACAATCCAAGCTCTAGATACAACGGAAGAATAGGAGTGCTGTTGTTCTGCTAGTGTTGTGCTCATTTTTTGCCTTTGATGAAGACTAAATTTTCTGGCACTATTACTCCAACATGAAACCTATATTTTCAAATAAAAATATAGTATACACACACATTGTGTATATATACACAGATTGAACCTCTCCAAACCAGGACTGTCTGATCCAGCATATCCAGAACACAGATATCCCAGGTCCATAGAGTCCCAGTGGAGGGCTAGGAGGTGGGAATCCTGAGGGCCGGCAGGGCAGTGGGCTGCTGCCAGTGGGGCTGGAAACCTGGTGCACTGCAGCAGCAGGGCCAGCAACTGGGCCAGGGCTGGGGGGCTGATGGCAGGGGAGCCAGAAATGACTTCCCTGGTCTGGAAAAATCCCTCATTTAAGACCAGTCAGGTCCCGAGGGTGCCAGGCCAGGAATTTCCAACCTGTATATATTATAAAATGTGTGTGTATGTATGTGAGAGAGAGAGAGAGAGAGATTGTGTTTGGTTCCAGGCAGCTATATATTCATACTTGCCCACAAAAAAGAATTTATAATGGAAACTATGACCCACCCTTAACTATAACACTGTGAATAGCACTGCTATAATCATTTCCATGCTTTTCACTGATATATGACAACATACTACTCAGTAACAGCTGTTTTATTATTGTCTTTAATGGCCGTAAAGCAGAAAATATTGCATAATGCAGAGGAAACATCCTGACAGTTCTGGCTGTGACAGAGTATGTCAGTTTTATAACGCTGTTTAGCTTCTGAGGGATTTCTTGACTAACAGGTGCATCATTATACACATCGCCAATTCACTGTCTAAGTAGAACAATAATGCAATGTGCATTATGATGCTATAACTGACACACAAAAATGAATTCACTAAAGTAGTACAATAGATTGTCACTTCCCTCGTTCAAGTACTGTTTGAGCTGATACTAATTTAGGGATTCAGTTTTTCATGCATGTTGTCGAGCCAAAAAGTTACCTGGTTTGCCTTGATGGTGTGTTTTTGTTTTGTTTTGTTTATTTTTACAGAGAGTCAAACTGTCCTAATGGAAAAGGAAGAACCAAACCAGGCCCTCTTTGGGTGTTTACTGACATTTAGCTGACATCTTCTTTTGGTTTTACTTCATACGTCATGGCATATCTCACACTAATATCCTTTGAATGGGGTTCCACAAATCACAGAAACTGAAGCCTTTTATAATTGACATAGAAGGTTCCCTTTGGTTAGAGAGAGTCATCAGAAGCCTGCAGTCTAGACATAGCCTGAGAGACCAGTTATGCTACTTGGCTTGAGGGTGTGTTAAGTTTAATTAAAGATGATGCCCATCTGGAGAAGGAGCTGAGTGATGACTATAAAGAAAGGAAGTTCGGATGACAGAACAAAACTCTGCAGTTGTTCTTCAGAGCTGGAGATATTATGGGAGAACATAGAGGAAGTCCATGGGGTGAGTTTATTCTGACATCCCCTCCTGAGTAATGAACAGATGAAAATGAAAGGTCAAACTTAGGGAAGGCAGAAATGGATTTACATTTCTACCATGAGTTTGGCATGGTGTTGTGGCTGCCAAGAATAGACCTGTCAGTCTGGGCCCTGAATGAAGTATGAACTTAGAGAGGCTTTGGTAGACACCTGCTGACTATCTAGGAAGAAAAACAGGGAGGCAGCAGATTGGATGAGCAGCAGATAGAACAAATCTTGACTACTTGTTATAGCATCCCTAGACTGGAACCTAATGGAGTAGGAGGACCTGGGTTATCCACCCAGCAACAGAAAAAGGAGTTGTGAAGCCCCTTGGGGAAAGGGCACAGGAATTATTCAAAATTCTGAGAGAAGAGTGTGGACCACAGGGCTGACAATTCAGACTCAGCACAAATGTAAGGACCCTGGAGATGTTTGTTACTCCAAAAAATTACTGTTTGTTACTCTGGAAGGGAGGGACATAAATGTGAACTGGCTGGTGGGCTGAGTCATGAGATAAAACAAGCCACCACAGGGACCAAAGTAGATATCTGCTGGGGTTTAGACAGACAAGAGCTTCTACATGATGTACAACCGAAAGCTCCAGTGGTGAGTCTGCCCTGCTATATTTTGTACAGACTTTGGGTATGTCTACACTACAAAGTTAATTCGAACTAACGGACGTTAGTTCGAATTAACTTTGATAGGCGCTACACTAGCGCTCCGCTAGTTCGAACTTAATTCGAACTAGCGGAGCACTTAGTTCGAACTAGGTAAACCTCATTGTACGAGGACTAAGCCTAGTTCGAATTTACTAGTTCGAATTAAGGGCTGTGTAGCCCCTTAATTCGAACTAGTGGGAGGCTAGCCCTCCCCAGCTTTCCCTGGTGGCCACTCTGGCCAACACCAGGGAAACTCTATTGCCCTCCTCCCGGCCCTGTCAGGTTGGCCGCTGTCCTCCCAGACCCTGCACCTGGCATGGCTTGAGCCAGCCACCCGATGCCCCCCAGCCCTCCCCCTCTTCCCGGGACCAGGCTGGCAGCTCCTGGGAGCTTGACCAGGACCGCAAGAGGCGGGCAGCCGCCTGGTCCAGTGCAGACATCGTGGACCCGTGCTAGAAGCCTAATCCAAACTAGCTAGTCTGTGCTGCGTGTAGTCGCGCGGCACGGGGTCCAAACTAGCTGGCATTTAAAAATGGCGCCGGCCGGCTTCATGCAAATGAAGCCTGGGAAATTCAAATCCCGGGCTTCATTTGCAACTGCGGATGACTACATTACCCCCGCTAGTTCGAACTAGCGGGGTAGTGTAGACATACCCAGCCAGCTGGCTCTAGGCTAAGACTGTAGGGTAGACTTCATTCTCCTTTGTCAGTGGTCTCAGTGATTCAGGCTAATACATGCATAGACACTTCTGGATCCTTTATCAAACTTCCCAGACTTTTGAAATTCTCCCTTCACTAACAGCCTGCTATTTTCATTTGTTTTAAGATTGGGAATAAGAGAACAAGACAAATAAAGTTAATTCTAAGACAATAGAAAAAACTGACTTTCAAAGAATTGAAAATAATAAGACAGAATACATGTTGAATATTAAATCAGTGTTGTCAGTGAGAAATATGAAAATGAGTGACAATGGAGAGTCTAAGAAGGATACACTGCAAAAAATTCTATTTTGTTATATATCTCTTTCCCAGGTCCTGCCTCCAGATTCATCTGTCAATTAATAAAAAATATCAAAATTTTAGATATTATGAGCTGTTCTTTGAAAATGTATCATTTCTGTTTACTCCCACACATCCACATACAGTTTGAAGAAACAGCTTTTTTTTTTTTTTGCATTTCATTTTATCATGAAGCTTTACTTTGAGGGTATATCTATATAGCAAGGAAACAGTCAAATTAAGCTATGCAACTTCAGCTATATCAACTGTGTAGCTTGTCAAAATACAGTAAAACTCCAGTGGTCTGGCATCCAATGGTCCGGCACTCCTGATGGTCCAGCATCATCTGGAACCCGGAAGTGCTCTGGGCAGCCGGACAATTGGAGCTGCTCTGCCCCCGGCTTCCCCGATTCAGCCGCTGCTGAAACTGACCAGCAGCTGACTCGG